TAAGCCAGAAAATATATAGGCCTCATCTTCCTCCACGTACATCATCAAAGGTAATATGACAAACCGGCTTGCTACATTGTCGACGCCCAGTTGCCAGCCGCTCAAGTAAGCACTCAGTTTGCTAGTCAAACACACAGTCTATTAACCTGCGCATTCCCTTCGGTAGGTAAACGAGGGCTCTAGGTCCTTCAATAGACGATCATCCTGTATGTGCCCAGCTAATTAGCATGGATTATTTCGAGCGGTTCTCCGCTTTCACGAACTGCCATTGCAACTGCCTCTGAGCCTATCAGTGTAATGGACTGCATATTGGGCCTCAGCGCGTCTTTTAGTTTATCAGCAAACTTCTTGATATCTCCCTTGGTCATAGTGATAATCTGTCTCCTGAACTCGTTCATGTGGTCATGTGTCTCCCCCTTGATCCACCGCCAAAAGCTCGTCAATCCCTTTGCACTCAGCTTCTCCGGATGGTCCAACAAACTGATGGCAGGAAAGATCGCCTCAAGAATCTCGATATCGTCGGCTTGCTCGGCCCAAGTCTGTGCAACAGCTGGGGTAGAACGCAGAGCCCCGAGGGTCAGCAGAATCTCAGGATCTCTGTGGCTAAGGAGAGAAAACACACCGGCAGCACTAACACGGGCCCAAGCACCGTATGCCCCCTGCTGCTCTCGCACTTTGTCCCATAAGAAAGGCTTCTCCAGGTAGGCGGCCCCCACAAGGTCAGCCCCGCTCCACTTAGTCCCAATTGGTCCAATGGGCACCGACAGGCACATATCGCTCACCTGAACCCACGCATACAGCCGCCACAGTTCACTGTACAGGGGCAGAATTTTCATAGTAGGAACAGATGCACACTGGCAACGGCTTTCCACTCAGCCGAATGGGTGCGGTTCCAACTAGAGGTATAAATATCAAACAGCGACTGGTGGAGAACCACGGAGGAAGATAGAAAAGCGGCAAGAATGGTGGCGCCTAAAGACACAAAGCCAGTATAACAAGAGAGCCTGAGAGATTTTACCAGGAAGCGATACACGAAAGTAGTGACAAGCAATCCCTCTTAGTTCCCTTCCTTCCTGCACCAAATGCATTGAGCATACGTACTGCAGCGGGTACTACTACTGCCA